ATGTCTTCCAGACCCTAGAACAGGGCCTGCCACACAGTAGCTGCTCCGTTAATATCTGTTGAGTAAAAGGCACAGAGGTGGAGGGTCTGTTAACTGCTTTCTAGCTGCTCACTCAGCCAGAAAGCATCAGAGCCTGTCAGCCTTGTTCCAACCACCAGGCTTCTCTGCCCCCAGACCAAGGCAGACATGGTCCCCGCCCTCCGAGATCCCACAGATGCCAACTCCCAGACCAGGCTCAAACCGAGGAGGGCATCTCATAGGCACCCCCTCCCCACGGGTGTCCCGAGAGGGAGCTGAGGCCTGGAGTGGGAGGCAGGTGAGTGGTAGTGCCAGGAGAGGAACCCAGGGCTCCTGTGCCCACACAGCCACCCTTAGTTCAAGGTTCAGCCCCTTGTTCGGTAAAAAGCCCCCTCTGTTCACTCAAATGGCACAGACTCCTTGGGCTCAGAGGTGTCCATCTCCCACAAGGCCTCAGGCTGGCCCCAGCCTCCAACCACAGCAAGAGGGGCCCGGAAAGCTCAGTTGTCACTTTCCTCCATTTTACATCCGAGGAAACAGTGGTAGCACGTGAGCTGCAGGTGAACTCGTTCTCCTGGGACCCCATCCTAGCCTTTCTTCTGGATGGGCCCCCAACCCTGCTTCAGGAACCCTGGCCCCGGACCTGTGGGAGGCCCCATCTTCGGTGGCGCTTCAGCGTGGCTCAGTAGTTCTTTCCTTGCTGCCCCACAGCAGGTTTCCACCAGGTGTGAAGGCTCCCTGCCCTTCCAAGGCTGACATGTCCCCGATATTTCCACTGCAGAGCTGGGACATGTTAGCTGGATCAGCGAGGAGTAAGATGGGAACAGCATGCCAGGGCCGCTGCAGAACCCAGTCTGCCTGCTCTGCCGCCTCCTTGCACTAGGCCACGTCCCCTCCTCTTGCTGAACCTCAATTTCTCCAGCAGTAAAGCAAGGGGACTGGATGGATGATCTCTAGAATCCTCTTTTTTTTTTTTTTTTTTTTTTTTGAAGAAGATTAGCCCTGAGCTAACTACTTCTGTCTTCCTCTTTTTTTTTGCTGAGGAAGCCTGGCCCTGAGCTAACATCCATGCCCATCTTCCTCTACTTTATACATTGGACGCCTACTACAGTATGGCGTGCCAAACCATGCCATGTCGGCACCCGGGATCTGAACCGGCGAACCCTGGGCCACTGAGAAGCAGAACGTGCAAACTTAGCCGCTGCGCTACCGGGCCGGCCCTCTAGAATCCTCTGACCATGACTGACTGCCAACCTGCCTCGCCAAAGCTCTTGGCACCCTTGGTCCACTCTTCGGGCCGAGTCGGTCAAGGCGAGCGCACTCCTGTCTGTTGCTTGCGAGTGGCTGGCCACGCTGGGTTGGGCTTTATCCCCCACCCAACCCTGGCCCTGCAGGCCCTTGCTCATGACCTGGCCGGCCGCTTCCCCGCACTGGCCTCTGAGGGAGCCCTTTCTGTCTCTCAGAGCTCTTGTGGGCACCTCCAGAGAAGGTAGGAAGAGAGAAAGCCGTTCGAGGAGTAGAAAGGCTCCCTTGAAGGCTGGGGTGACAGTCCTTTCTCTCCAGTGTCTGGGATCTCAGCAGGGGGCCCAGCCTGGGCTTCTCTGCCATCTGCAGTGGACATTGGGAATGTGACACCACAAGGGAGGCCCAGTGAGGGCCACTGAGACAGGAGGGAACTTGCTGGTGACCACTTTCCATATGTGGCTTCGGTGGTCATGACAGCCCTGGCAAAGCAAGGCTATTATCCTCATTTTACAGACAAGGAAACTGAGGCCCAGAGAGACCAAGGACCTTATCCAAGGTCACACAGCTAGAAGTGGCAGAGCAGAGATTTGAACCCAAGCCTGTCTGGGACTTGGACCACCTAGGAAAATCCAGGAGCTGTGGTCACCACTGGCACATGCCGCAAAGCTTGGGAAGCTCCCTGACACTTCAGCACTCGGCTGTTTCTTATTTATACCGCCTGCCCACTTCCAGAATTTGGAGTCAGCTTCCCAGAAAACCGTGATGTTAAAGGAATAGCAGAGAATCAGAGGCACAAAGCTTTGGAGGCAGCAGAGGTCTGGCGGGACTGGGGTGGGAACGTGCGCCAGCTCCCGCTGAGAACTGGGCAGCGATGGTGTCACAGAGCCTGGTGAAGTCCCCCAGTTGCTGGGAGGCCCGGCTGTTTGCAGCTTCCAGCTTGAATGAGTGCTCACAAGGTGTGTGCTGAAGTGAAAGTCACTCCTTTCCTGCTTGCACCCGGGGGAGTCCCCACAACGTCGCAGCCCCCAGTCCATGCCCAGCATTCAGTTCGTCTGGAACCTTCCCCTCAGCCAGGCTTTGTTTTCTGGCTCGCGGGTTCCTGTGAAGTAACGGGAAGAGAGAGCGTCGGACTTGGTGTCAGAGACACGTGGGACATCGAGTCTGTCCCACCTGGGGATGTGACTCGCCCAAGGGATGTACCGCTGAGCGGCAGCTTCCTCAAATCTGAATCGGAGCCACGGGGCTGGTGTCAGCGTAGCGTCCATTCTCCCTTCTCCCGCCAACAGCACCCCGATGCCCTTGGGGAGTTGCCCTTCCCCACCCTCTGGTTAACATGGGGCTGACCCTCTCCCCTGGGCTCCACGAAGGGCCTGGACCCTGGCCTTGCCCATCTCACCTTACCTCCTGGCCACAGTGGCTGATATCAGGAATCAGCCACATGACTCGAGCCAGACCAGGAGAGCCAGGCCTGCGACCTTTGTTGAAACTTGGGAAAGTGGCAGGGGGTGGAGGGATGTGTTCCGCTCCTGGGGCAGCTAAGCTGGTGTCTCTGGTGGCCATCTTACTACCATGAGCGGGCCCTGCCTGAGAGTGTACCCAGCCCAGAAGAGAGCACACAGGATAAGACATTGACTCCTGATGACATTGTTTGGGCATCATGATCCAGCCATGCCTGAAGCTGGTATGCTCTAGACTTGTTAGTATCTTAAGCTTGACTTAGATCATTTATAAAACTAAGAATCCAGAGAACCCTAATTTCCCATCTTTTATTGAGACTCCTTTGTAAGCATGGGAAATTTTAATCAATTTACATCAGATATTAAGTGCTGCTTCTTACCTGTGGACACAGTCATGAACTTTTTTTTCATTAAAAAAGTATTTCATTAGAAAAAAAAAAATCTCAGGGCCAGCCCGGTGGTGCAGCCGTTAAGTGCCCATGTTCCGCTTTGGCAGCCCGGGGTTCACTGGTTCGGATCCCGGGTGCGGACATGGCACCGCTTGGCAAGCCATGCTGTGGCAGGCGTCCCACATATAAAGTAGAGGAAGATGGGCACGGATGTTAGCTCAGGGCCAGTCTTCCTCAGCAAAAAGAGGAGGATTGGCAGCAGATGTTAGCTCAGGGCTGATCTTCCTCACAAAATAAATAAATAAATAAATAAAATTAAAAAAAGAAAAAAATCTCATCTCTGTTCTTACACTCCACCATTTTTTCTTTAAAATTAATAATAATGGAATAAAATACAAGCCTGACGATAAGTGAACAAAAATTCATCAAATATTTATTGAATGCCTTTGTTGAAAATGTAACAGATGTTTATGTGGCTTACTGTGTGCCGGGCACTGTTCTAAGCCCTTTGTATATCTCACTTCGTCAACTCCTTATATTATTAGCCTATTTTACAGATGAGGCATAAAGAGGTTAGCTAAGTCACTTGCTCAAGATCAAGTTCCAGGCCTGGGATGGAGCCCACCCATCCTTCAGTGTCCTTCCCGAAGAGCCCCTTCTCTGATCTCCCCAACAGGAAGTGCCCCGTGCCCACTGCAGATGCCCCCACAGAGGCAGAAGGCCGTCACCCTCCTGCCCTGCCCTGCCATCGATGTGCTGGGCGTGTCCCACACTCCACTGGGTTGAAAACTTGTCTCAGCTTAGCTCAACTCCCATGCGGGCCCATCCATAGTTGCCTGTGGGAAGTCAGTAGCCAGCCTCAGCACCCTCAGCGGCCACTGGCCTCTTTCTCTACTATCCATCATCTGAAGCTCCTGTGAGGTGCGCCATGGAGACCAGGCCTCAAACAAAGGGGTGCATATGGTGGGGGGTTCTAGAAAGAGGGTCCTCATCCTGGGCAGCTGGAGACCCCTGGCATCTCTCCAACCCCAAGAGGTGTGGGAGGGAATTGGGACAGGAATTGAGACAGCTAGCATGTATCAGTGCACTAGCTCGTCCCAAACCAGCCATGCGACCATCCCCTTCCTGTGCCTCAGTTTCCTCACTGGTAAAATGAAGAGGCTGGTTAGGGAGAGTCCCCCAGGAACCCAGGTCCTGTGGGAATGAGTAAAGCAGAAGTTTCTTTACTTATCCAAGAAGGTTTTGGGGTTCTCAGCAAGCTGCCTACTGGACTTCCATTCCTTTATTCATTAATTGAGCACCTATTATGTAGAAGCAGTGCTTGAGGCATTGGGCATGCTTGAGGGACCAAGACAGGCAGGAATCCTGCTGCCCAGGAGCTCAGTCTGCAGCTCTGGTTTTGGGAGGCCTCCGAGCCTCCACCCACGGGGCTGCAGGCTTTGAACTTCTAGAGCAGGCCCTTCTACACTGGGTGCGGAGAAGGACTGAGGGCTTAGAGGAGAGAGGTGTGTCCTCCCTCCAGCTCTGCCCCCTCCCGCAGGGCCACCCGGCCTTCTGGGCATTAGTTTCCTCACCTTCTGAGCGAGAGGTTGGACTGGACGGCCCTGAAGCCCGCCCTGCCAGCCTGGGAGGACATCCAGCTCTGCGGGGAAGCCTGCACAGCCATTCCTGGTTAAACATTACCCACTCCGTGTCCCTCCCTCCCTGTCGTTCCTCAGGCAGATGAAGCCAGAAACGCTTCCTTCTTCCTCCAGGGCTCCGGCCTCCTGGGAGGGCCCAGAACGCTTGCTGGCTGTCTCTCTGCCACTTGAAGCCAGGGTCTTGAGAGGGGAAGACTAGGGGGTTCAGGTCTGAGGCTGGGGATGGTGGGGGGGGGCACGTGGGCCCCAGCCACGTCCCCCCAGATGTTTTTTCTTGGTTACATCATGCGTGGGGTTGGCCCAGATCCCTCCCCGTGGAGCTCATGGACTGGCTTAATGAGCCCCTTGGGTGCCCGCCTCAGGCAAGATGCCCCGGCCCTCATGGTCTCTGGAAAACAAAAATAATTCAGAGAAATTGGGGCTGCTTCTCTGCATGGTGTGCCGCACTTCAGCCTCTGTTCCCAGGCCCCTCACCAGCAAGGAGGGCCAGGCCCAGCTGTCAGGCCCAATCTTGCCCACCCAGGCCTTTTAAATTATGAGCCTGCATTAATCCTGCGTTTCCATAAATCTCGGGAATGAGAATGGATTCCAGCTGGATAGTGCTTTACAACACTGTGTGCAAAGAGCTTTCTTCCCGTCCCGTTCTGCTTCATCTTCAAAACAACTTTGTAAAATCAGTCTGATTTCTTTGTCATCCCCAGCATACACTGAGAACACTGAGGCTCCAGGCAATGGACCTGGTGAATAGAGTGCCAGGAGTCAGTCACATCTTCTGACTCTAAAGCCCAAATGGTTGCACAGCCGGCGCTAGACATAGCAGGGAACCCTTACTCTCCATGCCCTACTCGTGACAGACATCACTAATCAATCATGGCATGGCAGACATTGTTAATCAATTGCAGTGCTCTTTTCTAATAAGCTCAGAGGCTGCTGTGAACTCAACACAGTACTCCAGGACACCATTACTTCTCAGAAGATCAGACCCACAGTATCTGCCATTCCTGTGATCTCACACCATCAGTCTTAAGCCCTGAGGATGCAAGTACAACCCCCAGATGCTCTTGTCACCAGACCACAGGAATACATTGCTCATCAGTTGCCATGAGGTTCTTGGAGAGGGCTGTTGGAGAGGGCTCCACCCCCGAACAGATGTCCCTCACCAGCATGGTCTCTCTCAGAGGGACAACAACTGTGCAGGTTTGCCTGGGGCTGTAGGGTTCGCCAAGTCTTTAATAGAAGTTTTATTATGAAACACTTCAGGTGCCCCCCAAAGTGTAGATAGAATGTAATCACAGAGAACTGTGTTCCCACAGTCTCAGCAACAAGACACCAGACGCAGCTGAAGTCCCTGTGTGTCCCCCTCAGCCCCCCACTGAGGCCACCACTCTCCGAATTTTGTGTTTCTCATTCCTATGCACATTTTTATACATTTATTACATATTTATGTACCCATATTATTAACCTTTACAGAAATTAGGTTGCGCAGCTTGTTATTTTCATACATGTGGATGTTGTGGGCTTGTAGGAGCGATGTTAAGCGCAGCTTTGAATCTCCCATCAGGTCATAATTGCAAATATCTGTCGAGCCCTTCCTCTGTACCAGGTGTGGTTTCAGGTGCCTTACCTGCCTTAATTCATCTAACAGTCACAAAAAAATTATTTGTATCCCCACTTCACAGATTTGGAAACAAAGGCATAGAAAGGTGAATGACATACCCAAGTCACATAGCTTGGAAGCTGTGCTCCTGACTGCTGGATGTTTACTGTCTCTACTGCTGCGTGGTCTGTGAAATGAAAACACAGTCCTTTATCCATCCTCTTTTAGGGCCATTGATTACTTCTGCAGACATGCCTCAACATGGGTCTCAGAGGGTTTGGGGGTGCTTGTATTATCTTGCTTGGTTCCTACATCAAGCCTGTGAGGGGATGTTTGTATCATCCCCCACCCTTTCCAGATGAGAGACCTAAGGCTCAGAGAGGGTGAATCGCCTTCTCAGAGCTGCACAGCTCCAATGCACCAGAGGTGGGCTGTGAGCCTGGGCTCCTCCAATTCCAGAGCCCAGAGACACTCTCATATCCCACAGGAGCCCTCGGTCCCCCATTGGCTTCTCCTCTCGGCTCTGTCCCTGGCAGCCTGCCCTCCCTCCCCACACCTGGCCATAGGGCTCCGTCCTCCGGCCACCCTCCTCCTCCCAGAGAAGGGGCCCAACCGGAAGGCCAGTTCATGTTAGGAAATTCCAGCCACGTGAGCCAACCCTAGCCAGGGATTCTGAGCAGCCGGTGGCTTTAGGAGAAACTGAAACTTGGCGTGCCGGGGGCGGAGTGGTCACTGGTGATTTAAAGAGCTTCCACTTCCTTGGGCCCCCAGAGGGCACTGGGAGGTCACAGCGGACGAGGAACACCTCGGATGTGAGCCTCTGCACCCCTGCCCAAGCCATGCGTCTCTGCGGGGGGGACGAGCTGCTGGCCCGGACGGTGAGTACAGGGGCCGGGGCCAGGAATGAGAAGGGGACGTGCCGGGGAGCCCCAGTGCCCAGGCAGGGAGGGATGCGGTCAGAGTTCCTAGTCCCAGCTCTGTGCACATGGGCTGTGTACCGTGGGCTCCACACACGCCCTCTCTGGGCCTCAGTTTCCCCGGGATTGGAAAGAAGGCTTTCCAGCTCTCATATTGCAGATCTAGCCTCCAGCTTAGAACTTGGCCTCTGAATACCGCTCTCTCCTAACCCACCTGTCCTGGCCTCACTGCCCTCACGGGAGCCTTCTCCTGCTGGACCCGGGCACAGAAACCTGCCCCCTTCTCTCACCGCCGGTTTTTCCCCCAGGCTCCAGTCTCCTGGCCCCTCCCCCCAGCACCTGGAATGGGCCTGCTGTGGCAGTGAACCTAGGAGCGTAGAGACCTCAGCCAGGGAGGCCAGGGTCTTGCCTGAGCTCCCTACACTCCGAACACACCTCCCGGAGGGGCCTGTGGAGGGGGGGTTCGGCTGCGGGGTCTCCAACATCCCCTCTTACCTGACCTTCCAAAGCTCCGCACTTTTGGGTTAAATATTTCATGTAAGTTTCATGGACTCCCTAATTTGGGGTCTGGGGGAGGGGAGGGTCGCAGCTGCCAACCTTTGAGTCCACTCTCCTGTCAAAAGGACTCTTGATTCATTCATTCGAGGTTGCAGCCCCCCTACACTTGGTCAGGGAGTTTTGCCTGTTTTGTTCACTGCAGTGTCCCCTCAGTCAGTGCTGGGCACACAGTAGGTGCTCAATAAATATTTGTCAAGTAAGTAAAGATCAGCTTCGGCACAAGCTGGGCACGGAGACTGGAATCAGACCTGGGCCCTGCCCTCACACACGGAGCTTAGGGCTAGGCAACCCAACACCTTGACCTGGAGGATAGCAGACTCAGAAGACAGGGGCTGACCTTTATTAACCCCTGGCTCGGGGCTGGCCTGGGGCTGCCTGCTTTATGGGCTGTGAAGAAGGCACAGGTATGGATGAGGCGGCTCAGCTCAGAGAAGCAAGTGGCTTGCCCAGAGCGACAGGGCCGGTAAGGAGAGAGTGGGTGTGAAGTCAGTCTTGTCTGGGTTCAACCAGCAGGCTCCCAGCTTCCTCGATTGTCCTCCCCCAATGTGAACCGTGAGTAGGACATGTGGGTGAGGCAGGCATTCCGACCAGATGTGCTGTGCCAGCGATGGGGTGTGTGTGCCCCGTTGGGGTGTGTAGGCGCGAGGGGGCGGGGAGCCAGAAGGGCGTGGCTTTATAGACCTCAGAAGGGAGGCCGCAAGCCCCTGCTTGGACCCTGAGCCCCTGCTTGGACCCTGAGCCCTCCGCCTCATGCCCTGCAGGACCCAGAGGAGCATCAGAGGCAGCTGAAGAAGAAACAGAAGAACCGGGCCGCCGCCCAGCGCAGCCGGCAGAAGCACACGGACAAGGCGGACGCCCTGCACCAGGTGGGGGGCGCCTGCCTTCCCGACCCTGACTCCACCTACCTGGCCCGGCCACCTCTTCTCCATCCGCCTATGAGCAGTTTCCCCTACTTTGCCGTGTGTTCCCCGGCCGCCTGGGTTTGGGAGGAGGAAAGGGCTCATCGGCTGAGATTGGGAAATTCCTGGGTGCTGAGTGCACACTGTGTGCCAGATCCACGCTGGGCTCCAGGGACACAAAGGTGCCTCCGCGGCCGGCTCTACCTTCAGGGTGTCCCCAGTCTAGGGAGAGGAGACAGGACGTGGAGGGAAACAAGGAGAACCCAGCACCTGCCCAGCTGAGACATTCTTAAGATGGAGGTCGCTGCCCCTTGCCCCGCAGGTGGAGCTGTGATGAACCACCCGGCCTGTTAGGGTTGTGATGCGGGTGGCCAAGACCACGCTGTGACCGCTCTGGTTCAGGGTTAAGATGGGCTGGCTCTCATTAGCTGCAGATCACCTCCCTCACTGAGCTTCACTGTCCGCATGTGAAAATCGGGATGATAATCCAGGTCCACTGGCAGGACCCTTGTGGAGACTCAAGGAGGCAAAGGAACCCAGTAGGGCAGGGGAGGGCTCCACCTGCACTTGCTTCTTGACCTTGGATGGTATCTTGACCGTGGATGGTAACCTGACCCTTGGAGATCCGCTTCTTCCTCTGTGCAGAGAGAGAGGACACCACCAGTCCGTCCCGGGGGAGGATTAAGAGCTGGGCTCAGACCTGGCCCTCGGGGCTGCATGCACGTTAGTCCTTATAGTGATGAGTAAAATTCACAGTCCTCTGTGCCCAGAGGCCCTGTGCTCTCTGCAACCCTCACCCCTGCCTGTGTGACCTCCTCTCCTAACATCCTGCACTCTGTTCTCCCTGTTCCTTCACTGGCTGAGCACACCCGGCCTCAGGGGCTCTGCCTTGGCTGTTCCTTCTGCCCTCACACAGCAGTCCAGCTAGATCCTCCTTCTTTCCAATTGTTTGGCTTAAATGCCACCTCCTCAGAAGGGCCTTTCTAAACCTTCTGATCTAAAGAGACCTCTCCTTGCTACTCCGCTTTATTTTTCTTGCTAGCACTGACTTTCTATTACATGTTTAGATGTTCGTTGCTTGCCTCCCTCACCAGAGTGTAAGCACCACGAGGGCAGGGAAGTATTCTGTTTCCTGCTGTTTCCCCGTCACCTACAACAGTGCCCGACAAATAGGAGGGACTCAGTAATTCTCTGGGGAGCGAAGGACAGAGTCAGAATAAAGTGTTCTGGGAACACATCGGTGGGGGCAACACACAGGTAAGAGCATCAAGGTGATAGAGAGATGAAGTCTGAGCTGGTCTTGAAGGATGAATAGGAGTTTTCCAAACAGACGAAGGTAAGAAAGGCATTGCGGGCAAATGAATTAGCGCCAGCATGGGGCGAGAGAGCAGCACCCTGGAGATGTCGCGAGAATGAGGACTGATGCCCAGGATGGCGCCTGCCTGGCAGGGGTAGAGACTTCGTGTTTTCCTTTAGTCATTCCTTCCAGAAATGCCTATCGAGCGTCTCCTGTGTGATGGGCACAGTTCTAAGCGTTGACAGCTGTGAGCACAGCCGACCAGATCCCTCCCACGCACCCATCCCTGCTCCCCAGGGCTCACCTTCTCACAGAGGAGCCGGGCAGATGAATGAATGAGTGAGTGAGTGAGTGACTCATTTCTGAAGGTGACTAGAAGACTTTGGAGAATTTAGGTGATGGGTGACCTAATGACATGTTTTAATAACCTCATTCCACCTGCAGAAACCAGCCTAAGAGTGGGGCTGCTGGTACCTTTGAGGCCTGTTAGAACTTTGGGTCCTGAGTAACATTTTTGTGTCATTCAGCCTGATGAGCTGTGGAAATAGTGTTCTTTCTTTATTTTCTCCCATTGTTGTCGTCATCGATGATTGTTTAGAACTGCACGTTGATTATTGTCCCTGTGGGTTCTCAGAACCCAGTGTTCAGTGGATCAGAACCTAACAGATGCTGTTTCGGGGATGCTGAATAGAAAACACCCGTGCTGCCACCCTGTCAAATGGTACCCAGGACTCCTCCCACAGGCCTCAGTGGGCGAGCTCTGGGCACTGGGAAGGTCTGGCGGTGGCTCTAAGTGGCCTAAAGGTGTCCAGGACAGAAGGATGTCCAAGTTGCCACGAGACGGCCACATCGGGATTAGCCCCGAGGGGCTGTGTGCTGCAAGAGTGTCCAGGCAGAGGAGACAGGAAATGTGGCAAGGAAGCGGAGTCCACCTGAGGGACAGGAAGTGAGGGGGAGCAGCTGATGTCGGAGAGATAAACCTGGAGGTGTGAGCTGGGGCTATGACACACATGGGACGTCATGGGAGCCTTTAAAGAGGTTTACTGTTCATTTATTGACACAGTTGCCGAATGGCTCCTCTGGGCCCGGAGAATGGGGTGGTTTTGGGGGGCACCCCAGTTAGGGGGCTGGTGGAGCTCCCAGGTGAGTGGAGATCGCAGGCTGGTAGAGACCCGCTGGCTCCGAGAATTGGCAGTGAGGATGGAGAGCAGGCAGATGTGAGCCGCATTAGGAGGTGGAATGGGGAGGACCTGCTGGTGGTTGTAGGGCTGGCCAGAGAGTAGCCGAGGGGCCCCAGCTCAGACATTCGCATGGTGGTGGTATATTTCCCCCTAAGCTGAGGACCCTGGGGGAGCAGGGAGCATGGCTCATGCTGGGCCCCTGATGCTGGCTGACATCCCCCTCCCCGCCCATCTGCTTCTCCCTCCAGCAGCACGAGTCGCTGGAGAAACACAACCACGCCCTGCGGAAGGAGATCCAGGCCCTGCAGGCTGAGCTGCTGTGGTGGAGTCGGACCCTGCACGTGCATGAGCACCTGTGCCCGACGGGCTGTGCCTCCTGCTTGGCTCCCACGCCCCCCGGCTGCTGGACCCAGGCAGGGCCACCCCCAGGCCGTGTGCCCCACGGACAACACGGCTGCCAGGAGCAGCCAGACCTGTTCCAGACCCCAGGCCACTCTCCTTCTGCTCAGCAACTCTCTCCAGATCCGCATGGCTCCCCTGGCCTCCTCCTCGCCCCTCTGCCCTCACTGTCCCTTGGCTCCACTGCGGTCACTGCGTCTTCGGCCCAGCTCTCCTCCAGCCCTGTCGAATCTGCCTCGCCCACTGGCTCCACCCTGCTGAGACCCTCCTCCAACCTCAGTGCCCTCCTGCCCAGCCCAGGCCAAGCTGCCCCTCCCCAGCCCCTTGGGCTAGAGCACCCCACCAGGAGGAAGCTGGAGTCCTCCTCCCACAGCCCCTTGGCTGCTCTGGGGCTGGCCTGTCTGCAGGACGGGGAGCACAAGCCTGCCTTCTCAGCAGCAGACCAGCAAGGCCTGGGTGTGGATCCTAGCCCCCATCCCCTCCTGGCCTTCCCCCTGCTCTCCTCAGCTCAAGTTCACTTCTAACCCGGCCCCCAGAGCCGGGCTGGCCCCCTGGGCTCAGGAAGCACCCTCAGCACCCAGGCATCTCTTCCCTTGCCACTGGAGGCTCTCCTTCTTGGCTGACCAGCTGGCCCAGGATTTCACCGGGGAAAGGAAGCCATGACAGCATGCCCACCCTCTGCCAGGCCCTGTCACTGCCACTGTCTTATTTCACCCTCAGGGTCATCCTGCAAAATCCAGATTATCACTGCACTTTTTCAGATAAGGAGACAGAGGCTCAGAGGAGCCAAGTGACTTGTCCAAGGTCACATAGCCTTTCCTGGGACCTGAAACACCAGCATCTGTTGTCCTTCTCCTGGTAGGATCCTGGCCCAGGCACCCTAGGGGCTGAAGTCCTGGACACTGAGGTCTGGTGTGAGGAGGTTTAAGTGCTGGGAGCAGGGAGGGGCTCTCCCTTCTGATTTGTGATTCCCAGGGCCACAGAGCCCTGCTGAAACCTCACCCTGGCTGAAGCGGCTTAGGGAGTGGCCAAGCAGGAGCCCACTTCTTCCCCAGCAGTGTTTTCAGAGCCAAGGAACTGAATCTGTGGGTTGAAGATGGGAGAAGCCTGCGATAGTCCCCCCTGGGATTTCTACAGAACGGGGTACCCCATAGCCATAACAAGGCTTCAGAAACATTCTGCAGGGTCAGCTCTCCGGGCTATTCCCAAATAGCTCCCTGCCTCCCTCCTCCCCGCAAGGCCATGAGGGACTCCTGAGAGCCATTCATGTCGTGCACAAAAGGCCTGAGGAAAGAGCAAGGGGAGGGTCAGGTGCCAGGTTACATTTAAGCAAGTGCTGGTGGCAGTGAGACCCATGTCTTCTCTGGGACCTCCTCCATCCCTGGGCAGCCCCTGACCCCTATTACCCTCGGCTTCTCTGAGCAGCGCCCCTCATTGCTCTTCGGTTTGATGGCAGCTGGAGGATCAGGGGCCAGGACCAGGTGGAGCTCAGCTGCAGTGTCTACTCCAAGGGAGGTTTCTCATTCAGACTCAGGATAAACGCTGTAAGGGACCTGAGACCAGAAACTCCAGCTCTTCACGCAGATTTTCACACACGTGTAAACAGACACTACACTAGTATTTGACCCACTCCAGGATGCTGAGCACAAGTCTTGGCATGTATGTTATGGTAAATAAATTAAAGTGTTTTCCAATTCTTTTTGCTTTGGCCAGTTGTTTAAAGCTCTAGTGTATTATATATTGTTGAAGCCAAAGGGCCTTTGAAAGAAGAGGGAATTAGAATCTCAGAAGTGAGCAATCCCTTGTGGACCTCGTAATCTAATGCTCCTCTCATTTTGCAGACGAGGAAACTGAGGCCCAGAGATGGGATGGACTTGCCCAGGGTCACACAGTAAAAGTAGGTGGGATGGTCGCAGGATTGTGGATGGCGGCAGAGCTGGGGTCACCAGGCAGAGAGAGCAGACTGGCAGGGAAGCCAAGATGCTATTGATTGGAGGAAAGCTGGAGTCTGGGACAAGAGCCAATACATGCACCATGGACCAGGACATGATGGGGCCTGAGGATCCCATGGTCTGGCTTGTGTCTACATACCCTAAAATATGTCAGGCACTGTGCTGTGTTTTACTTGGGTTAACTCAATGATGCTTCTAATAAGTCTGTAAAGTAGGTATAGTTATTATCCCCACTGTTCAGAAGGGGAAACTGAGGCCCAGGGGAGTCAAGTAACAAGCCCAAGGTCACAAAGTTAGGAAACGGTATAGACCTGATGCAACGTCAGGAGCACTTAACCACAGGCGATCCTGCCTTCTGTCTTTCCCATACTGTCCCTGTAGGCCCTGCATGGAGGGGCCGACATGTGCTAATGGACATGACCAAGAGGGCAAAACTCTCCCTTAAGCTCAAAACCAATAAGAGAGGGGAGTGACTAAATCGATGTTGGTACACTCCTATGACACAGTACTGAAGAGGTGCTCAGAACAAAGAAAGCTTTGAAGAGTGTTTAATGAGGTGAGAAAATGCATACAACATATTAAGCAGAAAAAGTAGACTGTGCGACTGTCACTATAGTTTGCTTAAAAACATAAACAGAATCAAAGGAGTGGGAGGAGATGCTGTAGATTCTTGAGGAGGGCTATGAGCTCACATCTGTGAAGCCTCAAATTTGTAAACATAGCTATCACTCTATCACTATGTCATTAGCCTTCCCGGGGGTGGAGTACATCTTAGAAATCTGTGTCTGGGTATATCTATTGCTGCATAACAGATTACTCTGAAATGCAATGGCTTAAACAACAAACATTTACGGTCACACGGTTTTTGTGGAGCAGGAATCTGGGCGTGGCTCAGCTGGGTGCCTCTGGCTCACGGCCTCTCACAGGCTGCACTCAATCTGTTGGCCAGGGCTGCAGTCATCCGAAGGGTCGACCGGGGAGGATCCACCTCAAGCCTTACTTATACGGCTGTCTGCAGGCCTCAGAAAGGCCACTTCCAAGCTTGCTCACAAGGTTGTTGGCAAGATTCAGTTCCTTGAAGGCTGTTGGAATGAGGACCTCAGGTTGTTGTAGGGTGTTGGCTGGAGACATTAGTTCTTGCCACGTGGGCCTCTCCATAGCACTGCTCAATATGGCAGTGGGCTTCCTTTAGAGCAAGCAAGCTAGAGAGGAGGAAAAGTGAGCAATATGGAAGCCATGGTCTTTTTGTCACGTAAGTGCAGAAATTATATCCTGTCGTTTTTCCTGTATTCTCTTCAGTAGAGGCAAGTTGCTAGATCCAGTCCACACTCAAGGGAAGAGGATTACACAAGGACATGAAAAAACCAGGAGAGGGGATCTTTGGGGGACATTCATCTTAGAGGCTGCCCACCATCCTGGGCGTGAACCAGCACTTTCTTGGATCCCTTCTTTTTCCTTTCATCACCAGCAGTAGCAGTGGCTTTCTTTGGGGAGGCCATTTTTCAGAAGGACCCAATTTGGGCCCCTTTGCAGCAGTAGCCACGCCCCCAGCAGTGAGCAGAGAGGATCTGCGGGTTGGGGCTGCAGCAAGGCCCCTGGCTAGAGACTCACAGCCTCAAATTAGCCTTGCAGCAAGCACAATGCGGATGCTCCCTCCTCAGAACGACCTTTGAAGTGATGCGTGGACAGTCAGTGCTGAAATAGCAAGTATGTGCGGGCTAAGAGTCATCTATGCTTTGAAAAGTAGTCACTCATTGGAGGACTAGAGTTTAAACTCAATTTAAACTCTTCTAGCTGTTTTTTTTTTTTTTTCTTTCTTTCTGGTATTCACCTCTATAGTGGGTTGAATGGCAGCTCCCTAAAAGATATATCCACCCAGAACCTGTGAATGTGACCTTATTTGGAAAAAGATCTTTGAAGATATAATTAAATTAAGGATCTCAAGAGTAGATCATCCTAGATTATCCAGGTGGGCCCTAAATCCAATGACCAATAAAAGGAGGTCACCAATAATTGGAAGAGAGGACACAGAGGAGAAGGCAATTGAAGAGAGAGGCAGAGATTGGAATCAGGCAGCCTCAAGCCAAGGAGCATTTGGAGCTACCAGAAGCTGGAAGAGGCAGAGAAGGCTTCTCCTCTGTGGCCTTCAGAGGGAGCATGGAAGCAGAGAGAGTGGTGAGGAGGCTGTTGCAGTCATCTAGGTGAGCGACAGTGGTGCCATGACCCAGGTGGTAGTAAGGAGGTGGTAAGAAGAGGTCAGAGCCCGAGTGTGCTTTATAGAGAGAGCTGATAGGAAGGATGTGCTCATGGATTGGATGTGGGGAAAGGAAGGAAGAAAGGATGATGCTGTGTTTTGGGGCCTGAGCAATTGGTGGTTGGTAGTGCCAAAGACCAAGAAAGATTGGGAGAGGAGCAGTTCAGAGTGGGTGGGTGGGCGGGACATCAGGAGCCCTGTTTCGGCCATGTTCAATTTGAGATGCCTATTTGTCATCCAACTGGATAGAAAAGAGTTTGGAGATCAGAGGAATGGTCAAGGCTGGGTATGTGAAAGTGGAAGGCAGCAGTGTAAAGATGGGTGGATGGACCATGAGAGCTGGGCGAGATGACCTGTGAGGACCCTTGCAGCCATATCTCTATGAGGGCTGCCTCCTCTTGTGCCCCCAGAGCTCTTTCAGCCTGGCACTCCTTCCCTCCTCACTCCCGTGGGCCCGGAATGTGCCCCCATCCTTCCTCTTCAAATGCTTCTTCCTCTAGGAAGCCTCCCGTGATCTTCCAAGATGAAAATGACCCTCTTTTCCTCAGGCTCCTCATCACACCTATGTGCCTTTCACTGGCATCTACCATTTTCCTTCTTGTGTGACTGTGCCTCCCTATCTTATCTCCCTCAATGGCAAAAACTGGTCTGCCACATCATGAGTACTTTCAAACAGCCCATGCGTTGGAAGGCAGTAAATCATGGTGGTTAGAGAGCTTGAGCTCCAGTGCCAGACAGGATTGGGTTCACATCCCGGCTCCACGACTTCCTGGCTCAACTTCTTCAAGCCTCAGTTTTCCCTCCTGAAAAATGGGAATTAATAAATGTACCCACCCACAATCAACTCTATGTATATGTGTGTATGTGTATACATATCCATATATATGTGTATATATAATATGTATTATGTATATAATAGAAGAATATATGTTCACCAAAAGACATGAACGTTTGCATCAGCAATATTCATAATGGTAGAAAATTGGAAACAACCCAAATGCCCCATCAACAGGTGAATGCGTAAACTGTAGAATATTTTACACAGGTAATGCTACATGGCAATGAGAATAAGCAAACCACAACTGTCTGGAGTGATATGAATAAACTGCACAAACTTAATGTTGGGCTATAGAAGCCAGACACAAAAGAAGAGACAGTTTGTATAATCCACTTATATGAAGTTCTAAAATAGAAAAAAAACCTAATCTACTCTGTTAAAAGTCAAGATAGTGGTTATAGTTGGAGGTTAGCACCCGGAAGGGGACCTGAGGGGCCTTCTGGGGTGCAGACACTGTTCTGTTTCTTGATCTCTCTGATGGTTATGTGAATGTATTCACCGTGCGAAAGTTCATTGAGCTGTATGTTTATGATCTGTGCTCTTTTCCGTCGTGTCTGATACACTTCAATAAAAAGAGGTGAATGTAAGGAGCATATCACAGTCCCTGGCATAGGGTAAGTGCTCAACAAGTGTTAGCTGTTAGGAAGGAATGAATGAAAGAACCCTTCCCTTGCCCCCCAGGTAAAAGCAATTAACAATCAGAACCATGGACAGATCAGAGTGGGCCCTCAAGGAAGGCTGGAGGACCAGGAAGAGATCTCTGTCCTGATACAGGGGACTTGAGGCAGGCGAGAGTCTGAGATCTTTCCTCTTGGATTAGTGGTTTAGTGTCTTCTTGGGGGACATTCCAATATGCAGGAAGGAGACTATTCCTGGCGGCCCGTGGGTATCCGTGTGTGTGCGTTCATGCAGAATTTCATTCCATTTTGAAAGTCTGCAGCTCCTTGTTTTTCCAAGCCAGTGAAGGCTGAAATCCCCCTAGAGAGTCCAGTCCTGGATCTAGGATATCCAACAGCTTGCTCAGGCTCTTTCAGGCTTTCCTCACTTTCTTGGGCTTGTGTTTATCCGGTTAGGAGGGACAGCAAAGAGAGTTCAGGCAGGGTGAAAATAACCCACGACAGAAGACCTTCTCTCCGTCACGCCCAAGCTCCGGGAAGGTAAGCACATTTTGTTTGTATCAATTCAATGAGCTGCTTTATCTGGTAGTGAGTTCCCTGTCACTGGAAGTATCCACACAGAGGCTGCACACCTCCCTGTCAGGATATTGCAAGGAGGATTCCTGCAACATGGAGAACTTACCCTGGTGGCTCCCGAGGGCCCTCTGAGCCTAAAATTCTATTATTTAGTTCAACACAAAATTTCCTTGAAGCCATGAACTACTTCTCTGTGCATGAACCCCACCCCCACGCCCACCCCCAGCAATATTTTCCCTTTTCCTAAGAATTAAAATATTTCGTGCTCAGAAGGAAAACTGAAAAGCATTATCCATACCATTGAATACTACACAGCAAACAAAGTAACGAACTGCAGATGCATGTGACAACTTAGGTGACTGAATCGTTACAACAACACTGAGTGAAAACAGCCAATCGAAAAGGCCACATACTATACGATTCCGCTTATGTGATATTCCCAAAATGACAGAATTATAGAGATGGAGAACA